CCTATTCGCGATTTTAACCATTCCATATTTTAACGATTCCATATTTTGTACCGGAGCCCATTTCCATAAGTTATTACCCAGAGTAATGTAACTTAAATCTTAAACTTGGGTAATTAAACGCTTGCTTTTTTAAAAATTTGACGCTTGCTTTTTTAAAATGACGCTTGCTTTTTTGACGCTTGCTTTTTTAAAAATTTTATTGCAAGAGAGAGACACATCTTTAAATTTGCTATAAATTATTTAAATGGGGGGGGGGGGGGGGGGGTATTTTTAATAAACAAAATTAGAATACGGGGCGCGCAGACAAGTAGGCGCAAAGTCATAACTTTCTTCAAGATTTCCGAATCTTTCGAACTTTAGTACTAAACGAGACTCTCTGATCGAGCTAAAGAGATTGGTACCGAAATTGTTAAGGTCCAGAAAATTTTCATTCTAGTTATGGCTGCTTTTTTAGTTCCCTTGACCGCACGCCTAATTGGGCGTGTCCCACAGAATTCGTTTACCTTAAATGAAACCCAAACAGAAATATGGCCATTACCCTTTTATTGCTTCAAGATTCTCTTTAGCTCGATCAGAGGAATCGTTTCCTTTTTTGAATTTTTTGGCCCCTTTATTGGACTCTTCAAAATTTCATTGGACTCGTAATCTAGACCATTACCTTAATCTTTTTATTTTTCTCTTTTCATTTTATCAATTAGTTCCACATATAAACTGGTTTCTTCTCTTTTCTCCGTTTAATAGTGGAATTTAAACTATATCAGTTATAGATTAAAAAAAGAAGGGAAAGAAAAGTGCACTCGTGGTTTTTAAATTGGCCAAAACAAAAATATATTTCACACCTTTTAATTGTTTGGGGGGATTTTTAAAGGATATTTTTATTTAAGAGATTTTTTATATTAACGTGACTTTCCATCTGACATTTTTCTGATTTTTTCATTTTTGATGTTCTAATTAATGACGGGAAGGGCAGTAAATTTTTAGGTACAGCCCAGGGGCCTATGCAAATTAGATCATATTTCTGATATGACGTGTCATATTTATGACATGTCATATGTAGCTGTTCAAATTGTATCATATTTACGATATGATATCATATTTATGATATCATATGCCGCATATGACACGGGGATATGACGGCTACATATGACGGCCACATATGACGCCGTATCATATGCAGCCGTCATATGTAAATTATTCTGTTCAAATTAACATATGATATGACACCCGCATATGATTTCCTTATTGAGTCCCAATGAATACCTCAATTGAGTCCCAATGAATTTATTTTAAAAAACCAAATCTCTATGCGGGATTATTTCAAAAATGTTACGTGATGGATTCTATAAAATCCCTTTATTAAAAATTGTTGGTTGAGATTTTTAATTTTTTTCATTTAAATGTAATTTTAAACTGAAAAATTGATCATTTAAAAATAAATTATATATTTCAATTAGGGTTGCTCACGACCGGTTATTAACCGGTACCCCCGGTTTTCGGTTAATCCAAATTTTAAAAATCGGTTTTTGGTTTTGAGTTTTAGACAAATACCGGTTTTATTTTGGGGGAATTTTTAATAAAATATGACATTTTCAGAAGTTTTTGGTTTTCTAATTAAAATGAAATTTCCATCTAATTTAATTAATTAAAATGAAATTTCCATCTAATTTAATTAGATGAAAATGAAATTTTCATCTAATTAAAATGAAATTTCCATCCGGCTTATTTGTAGGGTTGTGCCTTGAACGCTCGGTGGCGGGTATGTATGTCGGGGTACGGGGCAACAAATTTTATTTTTCGAGAAAATTTTTTGTTTGGCTATACCCTAAATTAGAGATGTCCGAGACCGAAAATTTTCTAAGACCAAGACTAGACCCCAAGACCAAGACCAAAAAACCCCAAGAAATGGGCTCGGACATCTTTACCCTCAATTACCCCAAAATCCTCCTTAATCCACAGCTATCCCTTTAATCTCTCCATTTCTTATATGAATAGATAGAGGAGAGTGTCTTAGATATTATGAGTAAAAATCAGAATTTTTCCCAACACATAAAATTTAAAAGACGTTTAATCGAGAAAATATTCCTTTTTTCTCTAAAAAATGGGGTACCTTACGCGAGGGCTTATAATAAAACTTTTTTAAATGAAAATTTTTAAAAATGATATCAAAAGATAAAGCACACTCTAATCTATCTAAAAATACTTAATTTTGAATTTTTGTATTTTTTTAAATACAAAAATTGTATTTTTTTAAAATTTTAATCAATCTCCTAAGATCACAAAAAAACCTAATATCCAACTTAATCCCTCTAAATTCTCATATATACCCTTAATCCCTCCAAATTTTATACCAATAGATAGAGGAGAGTGTTTTACATACTAAAGTTAAATATCAGAATTTTAGCTTAATTTTCCTAGGACTTATAAAATTTAAAAGACGCTTAATCGAAAAAATATTTTCCTTTTTCCCTAAAAATGGGGTACTTTACGCGAAAGCTTATAATAAATTTATTTTAAAAGAAAAATTCCCGAAACTTATATCAAAAAATAGAGCACACTCTAATCTATTTAAAAATATTTTATTTGGAATTTTTAGATTGAATTTGAATTTTTAAAAAATTTTTAAAAATTTAAGTATCCGCTAAAAAGTACATACACCCGCATATGATTTTTGCTAGGAGGACTATCATATCGCAGATATGACACGGTTTAATTTGAACGCAGATATGACATGTCAGTGGAAAAATCATATGCCGCGTATGACATGTCATAAATATGATATCATATTTCTGATATCATATTTATGACACAATTTGAACAGAGATATGACGGCTGCGTATGACATGTCAGAAATATGACATGTCATATGACGGCCGCATATGATTTTTCATATGACACAATTTGAACAGAAACTTTACATATGACGTGTCATAAATATGACATGTCATATCAGAAATATGATCTAATTTGCATAGGCCCCAGTACGGCGCGAGGCCATAACGGCGCAAAGCCATAACTTGCTGTAAAATGACTAGCCCTTGTAAATTCTGATACCAATCTCCTTAGCTCGATGAGAGGAATCGTTTGATACTAAATTAGATAAGATTAGGAAATCTTGAAGCAAGATATGGCTTTGCGACGGCGTGTCCCTTTTTTGAATTTTTTGGTTAATAATTTGGGATTTTCTTGGTTGCTTCTGTTATTTTTTTCTTTCAATTTAACACATTTTTAATTAAATTTTTTTTATTTTTTCAGAACAGTAAAATGGGTGAATGTCAAATAGAAGGACCATGTACATCCCAAAATGTTTCTAATACTATTAAACATATGACTGTTTCTGGAACGTATTCTGGTATTTATTTTAATATTTTAAAAATTTTTAGAAGTTCAAATTAATTAGGGCAGGAGTGAAGGGATCGTGAAAAATAACCGTTTGACATTTTTGGATTTAAGTGGGGTTTTTGCTTTTTTATATCTCATTGCCAATTAGGATCCCGTATCATGATTGAGTTTTGAAATTTCGAACAGGACAGGATCCTGCAGGATTAATCCTGAAAATCCTGAAAACTGAAAGAAGGCAGGATTTCGGACAGGATCCTAAAAAATCTTGTGCGGGGTCCTGTCCTGGCCGATCTCTGATGCCAATCATTCCAAAAATTAAAATATTTTAATTAAAATCCCGGTCCCCTGATTGATTGATATATTTGGTATCAGATCTGCGGCTATTAAGAAAATTTGGGATTTTTCCAGATCTGTCACTCTTTCCCCCGACTGAAAAGTTGTCACTTAAAATTTTTTATCCAAGAAGGGACTTTGATTTTGGGTATTCTTACTTTCCTCCATTTATTTTTTTATTTAAATTCTAAAAATTAAACGGGTTTTCAATCTCACAAATTTTTCTCATTTTTTAAAATTAATTTTTTTAGAAAATAAAAATTTTCCAAATAAACCAATCATCACCTCAACACCTTCAGAAAATAATTTTTCTTCTTTCTTCAAAAATTGCGATTTTTCCGATTTTCTTTTTGAACTTTCAATTTTCTGTATATTTGTTGGAATTTTTCTTGCTGAATTGCTTTCTTGGAAGACTGCTTTATTTATTTACTTAATTATTCGTTTGAGCAGCAATGATTTGGCTAGACGCATTTTTGTTACAATTCCGAGGGATTTGAGGTTTGTGAATTTAAATTGGGGTATTTTAAGGAATTTTTGGACTTTGTAGGCTCCTATTTTTGCTCTTTTTTGGTTTATGACCATTAGGTTTTGTGATAACAGAAATCGGTTGCTTTTTTGGTTTATTTTAGTTGTCAAATGGAAAATAGAAATCCAGATTTTTGAAAGCCTGGGCTTGTTCCTGGGTTCTGGGCTTGATTTATTGACCTAGGCCTGTAGTCCAGGAAAACCCCAGGAAGGCCAAAAAATGCCTAGCCAGGACTCTGGATACAGGAAAACCCCAAGCTTTAGTCCAGATCCAGCTCGATCTCTATTGTAAAATAGGGAATGAGCCTTATAAAGCAAAAATTTAAAATCACAGAGGATCCTATAAATATTCTTATGGGTCGCACAAATTACCTATGGACGCATAAAGATTTTTATGGGATTCTTCGGGATTTTAAAACGACCTTGTAAGGATATTTTTGGTGATCGGAGGCTATCCCGGTTGATCTTTCACTATCTGCTAGCTTTTTGGTTTAAATTTTTATTAAATTCGGAAACTCCTGGCAAGGGTTATTACGAGACAAGGGTTATTTACGAGAATCGATAGTAAATTACGAGAATTTATTATCGAACTATTCATATAAAATTATCCTTAAATTTACACCAAAAATTAGCTAAATTCCCCAACAACACCAAAAAACCTTATAAAATAATAACAATTATAGTTTTTGTTTTCCTTATTTTCATTTTTCCCAGGCTATTTATTCGCCTATTTTATTACATTTATTCATATTTAAAAAATACTTTTTAGGGGTGTTTTATTAGTTATCCGTATCAAATTCGAAATGCGCCTTCGTCTTCGACAAAACAAACCTTTACACGAATATTTTGATAAAATTGTTGAACAAATGCCTAACAAAGAATGCCTGGTAGAAGTTGAAAGTGGAAGGAAAATGACTTTTTTGGAATTTGATCAACATTCTAATAAATTTGCAAATTTTTTTCAGGTTTTTTTGAATTTTTTGAATATTAATTTTTGACTTGTTTTTTGGGGGTTCCAATGTTAAAATCCTTTCAATAAATTTCCTAACTTGATTTTTTCAAGAAAAATGTCTGAAATAGGGTCTTCATTTTCTAGTTGGATTTCTGAAAATTCTTGGGCGGGGTTAAAAATTTGGGTAAAATTGTCATTTACGTGCCCACCTTTTTTATCCCCAAGTTTTTTCATGTTAAATTGATCAAACCTTCCTTTCTTCCTTCCAAAACAATAAAAAAATTTTTTTGATTGTCTATTGGCAAAATACAAAATGAAGAATTGGCAAAAAGAAAGGAAGGAAAGTCTGACCTTTCTGTAAATTAATTGGGAAAAATTTGGAGGAGGAAAGGAGCCCGTAAACTGCAATTTTACCAAAGTTTTGGGTACTCTGTTATGTAAGGAAGAGAAAGATCCACCTGGTTACCATTTAAAACGCTCACTAGGCGGGGGTTTAAGGATCTGGTAAAAGATAAGCAGCGTCCCGGTAGCTCAGTTGGTAGAGCACCTGTACGTGGTAAGCGAAAGCGCCTAGCAATAACTGCCAAGAGGTCGCAGGAAAGCCTGCTCGGGATTAAACTTTTACCTCGCTCTTACTGTTACATCCCTGATTCCTATAAATATATTTTACTTAATTTTCAAAGAATTGCCATATTGGATTTGAAAGTGGGGATGTAATTTCTCTTTTTATGGAAAATGGAATTGATTTTTTCGCTTCGCGGTTTGGTCTTTCAAAAATTGGAATTATAACTGCTTGGATTAATACAAATTTAAAATCAGAGCCTTTAGCTCATTCTATTAGAGTGGCAAATTGTAAAGCTATTTTAACTACAAGGACATTATTTCCAGGTTTTTTTTAGTTTTTTCAAAATTTAAAACAATATAAAAGCGGAAACAGAAGCCAAAGGGACTGGGCCGTTTTGGCGCGAGCTTATAAGATAACGAGTTAGTTATAAAAAAAGATAAAACTCTCATATCTTTATCTAAGTTCTACAAAAATTTCATAATTTTTGAGCATTAATTTTACAAATTATGGCCAAAAATGTTGATTTTCTTAAAAATGCCTAATTTTTCGAGGTCTATCGATTATAACTTCAGAAATAATTGATCAAAAATTCTGAAATTTCTGGAGGAGATAGTCAAGGATGTTAAAGAAATTTGAGAAAATTTATATGAAGTTAGGTCTAGCTAAAGTGCCACTTTTTTGTTCTCGCGCCAAAACGGCCCGGCGCCAAGACGACCCGAACCCAAGTCAAAAGCAAAAGCTTCAAAAGAAGGGAAATTTTGCAGAGGCAGAAGGCGACAGGAATCTGTCCCAGTTGTCTATCCGCGTCTGACAATACAAAATTGGTTTGACAATTTTATATTACTTTGTTTCCTTGTTTCAGCTTTGCGGTAGATAGGCTTTCCCTCTCAATTCCTCCTTCTAATTTTAATTTTTTAAATTTAAATTATTCTCTTTAATTTTAGTCCTTGAAAATGCTCTAAAGAAAGGTTTATTGCCATCAGATTTGACCTATTTTGTGTTGGAACGTGGATTACTTTTTGAATATAAATGGGTACGAAATGAATGTTTTATTAGAGAACATAGAATTGAAGAAATTGAAAAACCCAAAATTCCTTCAAATTTAAATTTTCAAAGTTTGAAATTTTTTGAACAAATTTTATTTAAATTAAAATTTTGAAGGTATTCTTTGTTATATTTATACAAGTGGGACAACTGGAATTCCAAAGGCAGCAGTTATCAGGCATTTTAGGTTTTTTTTAGATTTTTTGGGGAATTTTTAAATAACGTAGTCGAGCCGGGCTAAGATGCACTCACCAAATGTCGAAAACTTTGAAGCCTTATAACTTTCCGATTTGGGGGGTGGGGCCGAAAAATCAAAAAATTGGCAATAGGAAATTTACCCTGCTCTACACGATGGTATAAAAATATTTTCGAAATTTTTTGGTGTCAGTTCGATGTGGTTCCTTGTCAATATTAAAGGCACCTTAATTTAAATAAGATACGTTTCTTATTGTTAGAATGTGTTTGGGTCACTAAGTGGAGGACCTGCTTAAGCGATGGCTCCTATTTAGAATAAACCTCATGAGATGTGAATGCTCCCAGGGGCCTATTTCAATTGTCCGCAGATTTTGCATTTTGTGTACAGAACACAATCCGCGGACAATTGAAATAGGCCCCAGACCTGTTTTTTCTCCTCGATTGAAATTAAAATTAAAAAAACAGCTCACAAGGAACCACCGCGAACTATGACCAAAAATTTTCAGATAAAAATTATACCATCGTGTAGAGCATGGTCGAAAACCGATCGGTAATCGGTTTTCGACCATTTCATGTGAAAAGCATTTTTTATTTGAAAATTTCTGGTCATAGTTTGCGGTGGTTCCTTATCAATAAAAACAGAAATTCCCAAAAAAAAACAATTTTTTTAAAAGATATTTTATGATGACTTGTTCATGCGGAAAAGCATTTTGTATTAAACCAACAGATCGTTTTTATATAACTTTACCAATGTATCATTCTTCTGCTGGAATTTTGGCTACAGGGCAGGTTTTGACGAAAGGTTTCTTTTTTTTGAATTCGAAAAAAATTTTATTTAAGGTGCTTCTGCTTGTATTCGCTCAAAATTTTCTGCTTCAAATTTTTGGCTAGGTTGTTTAACAAATAAATTTTTTTTTAATTTTTTAATAGATTGTAAACGCTTTGACTGTACAATTTCTCAATATATTGGGGAAATTTGTCGTTATCTTCTTTTACAGCCTTATATTTCAGAGGAACGAACACACAAAATTCGGTTAATGTTTGGTATGATTTTTTGGAGTAATTGAGGAATAAAGATTATTTTTTAAAGGAAATGGACTTCGGCCTCAAATTTGGGAACAATTTATTGCTAGATTTGGAATTGAAAGAATTGGAGAATTTTACGGTTTTTATTTTTATCTTATTTAAAAATCCCATACAAAGAGAGGTGTTCGTAGTTAAGTGGGATTGGTAGTTAGTGAGGTCTGATTGGGTGATGAAGGTTCGAATCTCATTCATTGTCTCGGCTGTGAGGAAAAATTTTGCCCTTATTTTGTGATTAATTGTGAACAGTTGATTAGTCTTTCTGAGCCGATTAGTTTTTTAAAAATATTGGATTTTTAGGGTACTTTTGTAGTAATATAACATTATCAGGGTGTCTCTTTTGCCTTATTTACGGGGCAATTGTCCTATTTTAGGCCTTTTCGCCCTATTTTTCCCCTATTTTCTACTTTTGCCATATTTTGCCCTATTTTTACCATTTAAGAATAATTTTATTTTTTTGACATTTTATAAGTAAAATGCGAATCTGTGTTGAAATATGTTCCAATGCCTATTTTAAACCGATTTTGATAGAAATTAATATATTTTTTATATTTAGGCAGCACAGAAGGAAATTCAAATATAATAAATGTTGATAACCATGTTGGTGCTTGTGGTTTTATGCCTTTATATATGACTTTTGTGAGTGGTCTATATCCTCTTCGCTTGTTGCGGGTTGATGAAAATGGACAACTTTTACGTGATGAAAATGGATTTTGTATTAGATGCAAACCTGGAGAATCTGGAGAAATTGTTAGGTTTTTTATATTTTAATAGGTTTGGGTGTTAAAATTTTTTAGTTTTTCGGGTTAGAATTCAAATACTTTAGCAGAGCTCTAAACAAGAGAATTTTGAAATTAATGGGAATTTGACAAAATGGTTGACAATGAAACCAGTAGTCCTTTATTAGGGTTCCCATTTTTGATTCGAGCCGATGTTCGTTGCATTTTTTCGAGCGAATTTCTTGAGTCCTGGCTTGAGTCAGCTGACATCCCTAGTCCTTATAAATTACCAGTATGGGTGAACCGAAAATTATTTTAAAACGCACTGAAAAAACGAAAGTTGTCAAAAGATTAAGGGTACACTACTTATACACTGATAAATTTTTCAGTCTCAGAAGTGTATCTGATTTTGTGTATTTAACTTATATTTAATCCTTAATTTTTTCAGGGAGCCGCTGTCCATCCAAACAAACCTTTACTTCGTTTTGAAGGTTATGTTGATCGTTCAGCATCAAAAAGTAAATTGATTGAAAATTGTGATCGAAAAGGGGATACAGTCTTTGCTAGCGGTGATATTTTGTATTGGGATAAATTTGGATATTTATATTTTAAGGTTTTTTTTTGGAATTTTTTTAAATTTTTTATAATTTGTTTTGTAGGACAGAAGAGGCGATACTTATCGTTGGAAAGGGGAAAATGTAAGCACAACAGAAGTTGAGGGGTTACTCCATTCTGAACATCAATTTATTGTTGATACGTCTGTTTATGGTGTTGAAGTACCTGGAAGAGAAGGACGTGCAGGAATGATTGCTATTGTGTTGCAAGATGGAACTGATATTGAGGTGAAGTGAAAATTAGGTTTAAAAAAGTTTTTTTGATATACTAGATTGTGTTGATATTGCGCGTTCTGACCTACCCGTTCGGCCCCGATTTATTTTTTTCTTTCGGACCCAATTTATTTTTGTAGTGAGGGATGGGAACATATCATGTCCGCAAATGTCTGTCCGCTGTCAGCCCGGGCAATAATTTTAAATAGAGTTGTCATATTCGGTTCGAGCTTACGTTCGTTGCATATTTATTCGAACTCAAATTTATTGAGAAAAAGTTTTTGCACTGTCCGGGCAATTTTCCTAAACTCGACATCGTTCGGGTTGTTGGGTTAGCAAGAGAAGGGCGTGCTGGGATGTTGTTGGGTTCGCAGCCCTATTTCTAATAAAATTTTTTGATTTTTTTAGGAATTTACAAATAAATTGGCAGTAATATTTACTGAACAACTTGCCTCTTATGCCATACCTGTCTTTCTTCGATTTTGTGATGGAATTGAAAAAACGGGCACTTTTAAATTAAAGAAAGGGCAGCTACAAAATGAAGGTTTTGATTTTTTTTTAATTTAAAAAAGAAAACTTAAAAATAAAATTTTAAAAGGTTTTGATTTGGAAAAATGTTGTGGTAATCGTTTATTTTATTGGGATACTTCTTTACAAAAATATAAAGAATTGTCTAAAGAAATACAAAAAGATATTGAATCGGGGAAGTTTTCGAGTATTTAAATTTAAAAAAGAGAAAAATTTTGTTTGTTTAGTGACCGGTTTGATAAAATTCTTTCGAATTTCCTTCTCTTTTAAAGAACCTAAGTGAATTAAATTTTCTGTAAAAATTTTTGAATTAAGTCGCCTTGCTATAAATCCACTTTATACTAGGTATAAGGGATCACGCTAACAGAAAACCAGATTTCCAATTTTCGGGAATCGTGAATGTCCGAAAATTTTAAATTCCCGTTTTTAGTGAAGCGTGAATTCATGAGCCCAAATTCGTTAGGAATTCACGATTTTCGGGAATTTTCGTGAATTGGGCCGGCGTGATCCCTGCTAGATACATAACAATTAAGATAGTTTTTTAGGTTTGGTTAGCTTTTTGGTGGTCATTTTATAAGGTACAAATTTTTCAGCCCCAAGGTGGTGTCTTATAGTGAGGTTATACTTTCTGATTTAATTACATATAGGATACTCTCCTGGGGCTCAAAAAATTTAATCTTAAATTTGGGGGTATATTTAAATGTTTCTATCCAAAATTAGCTAAAAACAAAACAATTTGGCCAAATACACTTTTTATTTTTCTTTTACCGGTCACTAACTTTTTAAAAGAATAATTGTATATGCATTTTTATGTTTTTTAAGATCCATAATCTCTCTCTTATTACATAGACACAAAAATAAATTTTTAAACAATCTTTTTAAACGTCTATGCCATTTTTTATTTTGCCTTCATTTTATATTTATCTTTTTTATTAAACGATAAATTTTATTTTTGTATTTTCTTTTTTAAATTTAAAAAGTTTTTTTATTAACACTTGATATTTTAAATTTATTTAATTTTATTTAATTTATATTGAGTAATTGGACAGGGATTGCCACTTGTTATTAAGCGTTTTAGAGGGTATTCTCCTGGAATAGTCAGACTTGATTTTACAGGGAATAGAAGGGAGGGAAGTTCTGGTGAATCTTTCCACCACCGGTCCTCCACTACATCCTTTATGTTTTTTCCTATTCGAAGGGAAGTTGTGAGGAATTTAGCTACATATTTGAATTAAAAAGAATGGGGCCAATTTCGTTTTCCTATAATTTTCTAGTATTTAGTTACCCTAGCACTTAGGAGCAATTTAAGACCGAATAAGCCTAGGTAACTCAATCGGAAATAACCTGCCCTAATGAACTTGTGCCTATCAAAAACTGTCAGAAGGTCACATGTCCTTCTCTCCAGCTTTTGGTTACCTTTTTAAAAATTTTTAAGCTTAAATAATTAATTTTCTAGTAATTAAAATGTCATTTTCGCGTGGCCCACATACTTTCCAAGTATCTACTAAATTATTTGAATTAAATAGACAACGTTTAGTGACTGAATTATTAAAAAATTTTGACCAAAACATTAAAGGAAATTATGTACTTTTAGAAGGCGGTTGTGAAAATACTCGTTATAATACTGATGCGGATGAAATTGCTTTTAGACAGGTTAAACTCGTAGCAGTTCAGTTCCCGTCCCTATAACTCTAGAAGGGATGGTTACTTCCTCATCTTCTTTGTAACATTGGATAGAAAATTAAAGGGTCTACAACATATCAAAAAATCAAAATTTTCGATCAATTGATAAAAAAGTTGAGATTAAAAAACTGACTTTTTCAAAGAAAAATGTTATTTTTGGCACTTTATCAATCATAACTTTTCTATCAATAAATCCAAAATTTTGATTTTTTGGAATCTTGTATTGTGTTTAATTCTCTATCCAATGGTATCAAGAACACTAAAAATTATCCGCCCTTTCATAAGTTATAGGTGGCGGGAGTGAACTGATAGTAGGTGTACCCGGTTAAAACTGCTGTTAGTTTTAGGTGGTCTAAAACTTTAAAAACATTTTAAAAATTGAAAAAAAATTATTTTTCTAACCATAATTTCCCAGAAAATAATTATTTTCTAATTTTGATAAGCTAAATAGTAAATTGATTTGTGGGGGGTTTTATCTTTTTTCGGACTCATAAAAACACGATAATTAATAAATGATTATTGTTTTTATTTTGGTATTAATTAAATAATCCAAAATTTAAAAAAAATGTCATTTAATACCCCCAAAAATCCTTTAAAAATAAATATTCAATTATTTGTTGAAAATAGACAACGTTTAATTAATAAATTAAAAAATAATTTTGGAGGGGAATCTAAAGAAGGAATTTTTGTTTTATTAAAAAGTGGAAAAGAAAAGACTCGATATAATACAGATTTTGGTGAAATTGTTTTTAGACAGGTTAAAATAAGAGGGGAATTTAGGGAATAGAAAGAGTTTAGCAAAAGTTTAGCCACCGGGCAGGATTAGAACTTGCGACTTCCTGACAGATATGGCTAGGTGCTTTCGCTCACCACATAGAGGAGCTCTACCACTGAGCTGCCGGGGAAGGGACCGCATAGCTATAACTTCGTTAAAAATACTCGAATCCAGAACGACTTGGTATAGTTCGATGCATCTCGACGAGCTGAATCGAATCATATCAGGGTGTCCCGGATTCGACCATTTTAAACGAAGTTATAGTTCTGCGGTATCTTGGGGTGTACCCCTGGGCATCGACCAATGCTTTCTCTTTTATCCTTTTTATATCGCTTAACCCCCTCCTAAACGTTTTAAATGCTCTAGGTGAATCATCCTTACAAAATCTTTTCTGATTAAAAAATTTCTTCCTTTAAAGGAATCCTATTTTTTCTGGACTTTTGGAGTACACGAGCCTGGTTGTTATGGAGCTATTGACATTAATAGTGGAAAATCGTTTTTGTTTCCTCCCAAACTTGCGCCAGATTATGCAATATGGGATGGAAAGTTTGTTTTTTTGTTGTGTTTAATTGGGAATTTTTTGAAATTTTATTGGAATGGATTTTAAACAAGGGCAATTTTAATCTTGTTCAATAGTAAAATTTGGACAATTCGATTTTTTAAAATTAATATCTTATTGCCAAGTTAAGCTAGAAGTTAGTAAACAGTCAAACCTCATTATATAATATACTACATCCTTGTGCCTAAAAGTATTAGCGAGTATCTAAAACATCTTAAGAAACATCCCTTAAATTCGGATGTGTCTAGTATTGGATGTATCTTACAGGGAGGTCCTGCTGTATTTTGTGAAAGTATTCACTGATCTTATTCAAGTAGGTCCTAACTAGAGACCGAACTGGGAGTGTACGAAAATCGAGATCTCGAAAATTCTTTATCTCGATAACCGAAATTTTCGATCGAGATCTCGTCTCGGTCCGGTCTCTAGTTCCAATCTGCTTGATTCAACCGAAAAGTTCCGATCGGGTCTGCCAAAGTCTTGAAAATCAAAAATTTTAGGGGTATTGGACTTAAAATAAAATTATTCAAAAAAATATTCTTTTAGAATCCAAAACGAGCAATGGTTTTTAAATAAATACAAAGTTGATCAGGTTGTATTCCATGAAAATGGTTCGAAAATTATTGAAACATTAAATGCTTTTAATCCAATAAATAAATTATTGCTTTTGGTAGGGGGGAATTTTTGAGAAATTTTTTTATTATTTTTTAATTTTTAGCGAGCTGAAAATACTGACAGTGGAATTGGTAAAATTAAAAGAAATTAATAAACTAGAAAAAATGTTAAAATCAAGTTCAAGCTGTACTTTCTGGAGATGATCATTCTCTGTACTGCTTGAATTTGTTGAAAAATTTTTTAAGTTCGTTTGGGCCTGGTTTGAGGAAATTAAAGACCAGTCTCCCTTTGGGTTGAGGGAGCCTAGTTTGAGGGGGTTAACTAGATGATACCTTCTATTTAACATACACCTCATTGTATGTATGATTTAATTTTTTGGGTGTTGATGTCTTCCCTTAAAAGGAATTTTCTTTTCTGTTCTTAAGTTCTCGAGCCTCCAACAAAAATTCCTGGATTGGACAAATTTGAGACTGATACAAAAATACTTTACCCAATAATTGCTGAATTGCGTGTAATTAAAACTGATTTGGAAATTGAGGTTTTGAAATATGCGTCAAAATGTGCAAATGAGGCACACAAGGAATTAATGCGCCATGTTAAGCCAAATATGTTTGAATATCAAATGGAAAGGTGAAAGAAATATTTTTTGAAAATTGCCAACAAATTTCGGATTTCATCAAGTTCGAGCAGTTCAACCTGTAGATGAACATTATCTGAACTGCTTGAACTTGATGAATTGAAAATTATGTAATTAAACATTTTTTAAGCCTTTTCCGTCACATTTCCTATTATGGTGGAGGTTGTAGACATTTGGGGTATACTTGTATTGCAGCAACGGGGTGTAACGCTGCTATTTTACATTATGGTATTTTGAGGGAAATTAAAATAATTTTAAATTAAAAAGGACATGCTGGAGCACCAAATGACCGCCAATTTAATGATGGGGATCTTTGCCTTTTTGATATGGGACCGGAATATAATTGTTATGGTGAGGGATGAAAGAAGAATTTTTATTTAAGAAAGTCAGATCTCGCTTATAGGGGTACCCTTGGTGGGGAAAAATTGAGCCTTATAATGGGGAGGAGGCATAGGAGGAAGAGGGCATCGCTTTGTCAAAGCTCCATTCACTTAGAGGCCAACCAACATTCGAAAAAAAATTTTATTTTGATTTTAGTTTATGTATTTATATAATCCTAATATTTGGGTGTACTTTATCAGATCTCGCTTATATGACACCCTTGGTGGGGGCAGGCCCGTAACTAGGATTTTTTTTCGAGGGGGGGAAATTTGCTTGCGCCAAATTTTTGGCGCCGAAGGCGCCAACATTTGAAAAAAATTTTATTTTGTTTTTGGTGGATTATAATTCTAATATTTGGGTGTCTTTTATAGTGTGAGATCTGACTACTTATTTTTAAAATTAATATTTAAATGAAAAAATTTAAGGTTCTGATGTGACTTGTACATTCCCTGCTAATGTTATTTGAATTTTAAAAATTTATATAAAATTATTTTTTAAGGGAAAATTTTCTGAAAAACAAAAACTAATTTACAATGCTGTTTATAGAGCTAATCGAACAGTTTTAAAGGAAGCTAAGCCTGGTAGTTGAAAAAAAAGAAAATTTTTTAAAATTAAATTTTAATTAAAAGGCATTCGTTGGACAGAGATGCATTTACTTGCAGAGAAAATAATTTTAGAAGATTTGCAGGCTGGGGGGTTATTAATTGGTAAAGTAGAGGAAATGGTGGAAAAGAGAATTGGAGCTATCTTTATGCCTCATGGATTGGGGCATTTTATGGTGTTTTTAAAATTATTTTAATTTAAATTATTTTTTAATTTAAGGGACTAGATATTCACGATGTTGGCGGATATTTGGGGGTATTTTCTTCTAATAAAAGACTAAACTTCGATAAGTATGGTTGGGGGTTCTCGAATCGGGCCAACGTTCGAGTCGTTTTCAGGCCGGCCCGCCGAGTCGAGTAAAGCAGCTGGGCTATAGCTATTTCTCTCCTTTAGCTAGTGCAAAAGATTATTCGGCGGCTGGGAGCGAACCAGCATCTTCAGTAGACCGGACTGATGTGTTAGCCAGTACACCACACCGCCTACTGCATAGCCTTGGGAATTAAATAGCTATATGCTTTACAGTCTTTTTCGGGCCAAAATTCAATGCCCGACTCGATCTTTCGGACGGCCCCAACAATAATTATAAGATACACTCAATACACCACCAATTTAGGATACCTCTTAAAAAATTGGGTGACCAATGGGGTGAAGAAGCTGTTCAAGCTTTACCCTCTATTTAATATACACTTCATTATAAGGTACTATCTTTTCAACCCAGGGTGTATCTTATAATAAAAGTATCGGTATTCAATATTTTCTTAAATTTTACCTAAAGGATGCTTTACCTCGTTCGGATAAACCCGGATTAAAATCACTTAGAACAACTCGAACACTTAAAGAAAAAATGTGTATAACAATTGAACCTGGATGCTATTTTATTGATACGGTGAGGAAATAATTTTTTATATTATTAATGGAGAGGTAAAAGTTTAGCCTACGGCAGCCATCGATACAATCTTTTCCCGTTACAAATACACCGCGAAGAGGTGCATGGTTGTAAAGAGAGTTGTTTCAAAATTTCGATTTTCGAGGTTTTCTGTTTCGAAACATCTCTGGTTGTAAACAGGCAACCCTTGTATTCCGCCTCTTACATTAGCTGGGAAAGAGCCCGACCCGAACAGCCCAGCTCATTTCTGGTTCCAGACATTTTTCTGGGTACTGACAAGAAAAATACTAAAATATAATTTGTGTTTACGTAAATCTTGAAAACTTTAAAGGAAAAATAATTTTAAAATTTAATTCTACGGATTATATGTATTTCAGTTATTGGACAAAGCCTTTGCTGACCCAGAATTGTCAAAATATTTGGTAAAAGAAAAAATTGAGGAATTTAGAGGATTTGGAGGGGTCAGAATTGAAGACGATATAATTATTTTGGCAAATGGGAATTTAAATATGAATGCAGAATTGCCTAGAACTGTAGAGGAAATTGAAGAATTTATGTCCTTAAATAACAAAAATTGTTGTGGAAAACAATAAATTGGATAGGGAAAGGAAAGAAAATTTTTAAATTTAAAAAGATGTTTTAAATTATTAAATAATTTTAAATTCGCTTAAGACACTTTTTCAGTGAAAATAAAATTTAAAAAATTATAAAAGCCTTTGTAAGCTTTTTTTGAATGTGTCTTATTAAACTTTAAAGCTGTACAAATGACACCCTATTCATACCAACTGAAGTATTACCCCTTTTTAGATTGTCGAATTAACCGTCCGGCTTGACAATCTTTTTATGAATTTTTACAATATCTTAGGTTTCAAAAATACGCAAAAAACACAAAGGAATGGTTTTACTATTAAAAAGGAGTAATACTTCGATTGGGCTATTTCTATTCATGTATCAGACTCCTGACGGTTTTTTTTTATTTTAATAAAGTTTTTACCTCTTCGAATGCCCTAAAAATTTCCCTTTATCCCAAAGAAATGCCTAATAAAAAAATATTTTTTCAAATTTTACTTTCCAAAAACAAAAAAATATTTTTTAAATAAACCAAACAAACGATTAAAATCCCAAAAAATAATTTTCAAATTGTTTTTTCCTTTTCAAAAAATCCATTTTAAGGTCATTGAATTCGTTCCATAGGCTCCTAAATTTAAAAATTAATTAAAAAAATAAAATTAAAAAATAACCATAATAACAATCGAATTTCCACGAATAACAACCATTCCAATACTTTGAGACTCCCCTGTCTAAAATAAAAAAATTTTTTTAGTTAAAAATTTTTTTTAAATTTTTTAAAAAAATTGACAAAGTTTCGAAATTTCTAAACTAGGGTTGTTGGGGTTATTAACTGGTATCCCCCAGTTTTCAGGTTTACGACCGGTAACCTGAAAAGGTTTTTGAAAAAGAGGGGACCAGCTTCAGAATTACCGTCTTCCAGAAAAAGTTTTTTCAGGTTTTTCACCGGTTTACGACCCTCGGGTTTTCAGTTTCGGGGTTTTAGCCAAAAGCACCCGGTTTTCGGTTAACCGACCGTCAGCAATCCTATTCTCAACAACAGAAAAGGAAGACTTTGTTTATATTAGTTGCCTAATCTAGAACCTATAAGGATAAAATTAAAAGTTAGAGCTAAAAAAATATGTCTATACGGGAAATTGAGGTCTAAAAAACAGGAGCAGACTAATTTACCGCAGAGCTATAACTTTGTTTAAAGTGGTCGAATCCGGGACACATTGGTGACAGAGATTGGCAAAGGGTTTCTATGTATACAAAGCCCAAACTCTAGCATTATAAAGCTTTTGAGGTTTCCAGGATTTCAGGCCTAGGAGTCGACGGGGAAATCAGTGGATAAAACAAAAAGGGAAATGGAGGAATAAGAAGGGGTTCTCCGCAAAATTCCCAGTCTTACACCCTTTCCTCCTCCGTCCCCCCTTTTTTAGTTAATTCCCCAACCCAAACAAACCTTCATATGCTCAATACAGTCCTCAACCACAATATTCATAAATGGATCAAATCCTCGCAGAACACCCGAGACATTCCTAAAAATTCATTTTAAAATACAAAAAAAATATTTAAATAAACCTATTTCCATTTAATTTAATATTGACTTGTTTGTCCATGTACTTCTTCAACTCCGGTGGATGCGTTTTACTCATTTTTTGAAATTGAAGGCTTTAAATAAATTTAAAACAAATTTCTGAAATTATTTTTAATTAAATTAATTGTAAAACAAATTAAGAAACTTTAAAGAAGCAACGCCAAAATTTTATTAAATTTTCTTTTTTTCTCTAATTGTCTCTCTTATTTTTCAACACTATTTCGCTAAAAATATAAATTTTGTATAGGCCTTTTCATCGCCAATTTTCAGTGTCTTTTATTAAATTTTTAGCTAGAAGTCGGCAAAATCGCTTTCCCAGGATCACGTAACGGGATTTTTTTCAAAAATTTTTGCGGGACGGGATCCCGGGGGATTAATCTCGTGAAATCCCGTAATCCCGTTTGTCGCTTATAATACGGGATTTCGGGACAGGATCCCGTAAATCCCGTACGGGATCCTGACCCGTGCCGACCTCTAATTTTAGCTAATTTATTTTTTAAAGATTTTTTCGTGCTTTTAAATATTTTCATAAAATTTTTTAAAAATTAGAATGGCCAATAATTGTTTGAGTAAGTTTGTTTTGAAATTATTTAAACGAAAATATTTTTTAGAAAAACCAAGCAAAAGGATTGGCTTCAGGAAAAAATTTAAAATTCAGAGAAAGGCTCGGGAGCATTCCAAAAAGCTCAAAAAGATTGACAAAAGTATTTTTTTATAAATATTTGGGTAATTCTTTGGTTTAGACGGGAGATCGAGCTGGGACTGGACCAAGGCTTGGAGTCTTTCCTGTACCCAGAGTCGAGGCCCAGGCATTTTTTGACCTTCCTGGGGTTTTCCTGGGCCTGTGTTTTTCCTGGACTAAAGGCCCAGGATCCGCCCAGATCAATAAATCAACCCGGAACCCAGGAAAAGGCCCAGGCTTTCCAAAAATCTCGATCTCTAGTTCAGACCCCCCTATTCATTTTCCCTGTTTCCTTGACCATTTTGAGCTTTTTTTGCTTGAAAAAAGAACAGATGTCGTAAAAGGGAAAAGGAAAAATAGGGGTGCCTAAATTAGAGGTCGGCGCTGGAGGAAATTTTCCGGGATCCCGAAGGCGCTGATTTTTTTGATTTTCGGGATCCGGGATTTTTTCGGGATTTATCCCTCGGGATCCCGTATTCGCATCGATTAAGAAAAAAATCCCGACTCGGGATCCCGGAAGTTCGATTTTGCCGGTCTCTAGTCTAAACCAAAGTTTTGCCGAGATTTAAAAATAAAAAAAATTTTTTTAGAATCTGGGCGAAAAAACAAAAGAAAAGAAAAATTTTGTTCAATTCCCAATAAATGCCCATTCAAAATTGATTTAATTAAAGAAGCCAAAGAAATCCAAAAACAATTAAAAGAAGAAATTAAAGAAAAGAAATTAAAATTGAAAGAAATAAATAAAGTTTTGAAGAATGAAGAAAATTTGGAAGAAAAAATTCCGATATTTACAAATTTGTTTAGAAAGGATTTGAAGGAAATTGAAGGAAATGAAAGGGTTGATAGGGATTTGAAGAAGGCTAGGAAGAAAATTAAAAGAATGAGGAAGAGAACAAGTTTGGATTTTAAATAATTTTTAGGGGGGGAGGGGGGTAAGGATGGCGGTTCCTGGGAATTCTCCGGAACCGATATCCGAACTGAAAATTTACGGATATCCGTGGTTTTTTCGATTTCGGATATCTCCCCTCTTAGGAGGAAGGGAGGTAAAAAATTATGCCTTTTTTAAGTTTAGGTAATATTGAACCGGACAAACCTCCCCTTTTTCCTTCCCAATTTTCCCCCTATATTTTTGCAAAATGTTCAGACTTTTCCCTTTCTTCCACCCAATTTGCCTTTCTAATTTTTGCTTACAATCAAACAAAAAGAATTATATTTAATTTTATACATATAAGTGAAAGTACATGTCAAAAAAGGAGTAAAATTGGGGAGGAGGAAAGTGGGTTTGTCCGGTTCAATATTACATACGTTTATAAATATGATTTTTCTGTCCGGGGAACCAAGGATTTTTTGGGTATGTTTCGAATATCCAAAGATTTTCCAGCAAGAGATAGCCCGGTACTAATTTAGTTCCCCCCTACCCCCCAGTCAGTTTTTTCGAAAATTATGTAAAAATGGTCAGTCTGAACAACAATTGTAGAACCCATCGAGCTGAGTCGAATGACACCAAAATCAACAAAATCCGACTTGATTTGACCGAAATACAGACCCCTAAACCACAGCGGCACAAAATCATAAAGACGAAAATCTATACAAATTATAGCTCATTCGAAAGAGCTCGTCGAGCTGAGTCGAATGAGACCAAAATCAACGAAATCCGACTTGATTTGACAAAGTTATGACATAAGTCGTTGACTCCGGTAAGTCTAAATAATGTCATAACTTTGTCAAATCAAGTCCGATTTCGTTGATTTTGGTCTCATTCGACTCAGCTCGATGGGTTCTACAATTGTTGTTCAGACTGACCATTTTTACATATTTTTCGAAAAAACTGACTGGGGGGTAGGGGGAACTAAATAAGTACCAGATAGCCCTACTTATAGAAGTTGTAAGTAATGCTTTTAAAAAAAACGGGGTTATAAAATTTGGGAATTTTTTGGATATTAAAGAAGATGAATCAAAGCCTTAAAAAATCCACGCCTCGTACTTTTTAATTATTATTTCGGTCTAGTCGGTTCCTGGAAATTCTTCGGATATCCGAAACCGAACCGAAAAATCCTCGGTTCTTTGGTTCGGTCCAGAATCGACACCCTATTTCGATCAAAAAGTCAGTTTAATATTCTCCCTTAAATTTTACTTATTTTTCGAAATTAAAAACATTTTTTAGACAAAGCAGCGGAGAAATTGGCTGATGACTTTTCTGTTGTTATGGAATTGTAAATGGAAGGACTTTTTAAAATGAGCAATTGTTATAGTTTTTATTGATATTGAGTATTTATTTTTTTGATTATTATAAATTGTTTTAAATTAGTTTAAGAATTTTTTAGTTTTTTAAAAATTGTTTTTATATCAAAATTTATATTTTTAAATTTTTTTCTGTAATTTTTTTTCAAAATTTTCAGAAAAAAAATCAGAAATCAGCCCGGTTTAGCCGCCCGGTTAATTTTTACCTGTGGCAGGTCTTTTTTCTCGTTTCCCTTCCCTCTTCCCCTTTTTGACCCGCTACAGGGAAAAATTAACCGGGCGGGTAACAGGCCTTGTCCTACCCTAGATTTCTTAATCAGACTTTTCTTTCAGTTTTCAGAAAATTTTCTTTTTTTATTTTTTCTAAATGGAATTAGCAACAATCCCTCAAAATTCTTCTGCTATTAGCACAACAGGAACAAATGGTTCACCTCAACATAATCAAGAGAGCGGAAGTAGTGAACAAAATGATCAACAAAAGGAGAGAGTTGGAGGAAAAAAGAAGACTAAACGAAGGGTTTTTTATTTTTTAAATTTTTGGGGAAATTTTTGACTTTAGGGACACTAATTTTATTTTCTGTCTATTTTTCCTTTTAAATTGAATTAATCAAAGGATACTTTTTGGGAATTTAATCTGTTATTAATGTGCCAGGGGGCGCCAAAAATTTGTCGCGAATTGAAAACAACAACCCCCTCCCTGAAACAAATCCAAAAATCCAGTTTTCAACAGTCCTGAATGTCAAGGGCGTAGCCAGAGGGGGGGGGGCTTCTGGGGCTATAGCCCCCCCCCCTGAAATGGGGAAAATGAAAAATTTTTAGGTGGGAAATGGTGAGAAAAGTGAATTTTTTACGCCTACAACCCCCACCCCTGAAATCGACACCCTGGCTTCGCCCTTGCTGAATGTGACGGTCGAGCAAATATCCTCGAAGGACATGATTGTTTAGTTACTAGAAATAAAATAAAGGAGAAATAGGGAAAAAATAAATATGGGCTTCAGTAAAGCTCAAAATTCTGAATTTTTATTAAAATTTAAAATAATTTTTTAAAGCCAGTATCAAGCGATTCAAAATTGTGTGAGTCAGCACAGCGCCAAAACCCTTCTAAAAGACGCAGAGATTCTTTAACAAGTGAAAAAATGATGGAAGAACAGGCTTTAAAATATGGAGCTTCCCACGTTATTCATTTATTTGTGCCAGGTTTTCTTTAAAAAATTTTTTGGCGAAAATAAATGATTTTTTAAGTGTCTTTGTGTATGGCTGTTGTTATTTTGACAATGATGACTGTTGGTTATTATTCAAAGGCAGGGGAATATCTGTGAGTTTTTGAGAGGTTTTTTGTTGGGGTTTAATTTTAAGCAATATTTTTTTGGTTTTTAAGAATCTTTGGGATTAAAAAAGATTTTATTTTTTTCAGTTTTCCCTTTTTTAATTGGATTAATCGAAGGTGTCCTATTCCTCGAGGATATTTGTTTAACCGTCACATAACAAGCTGATTTTTCAAAAAATATTCTTTTGATTAATTCGATTAAAAAAAGGGAAAACAGAAAAAAAATTCGAGTATTCTTTGTTGGATAAAATAAGAGACAGCCCCCAGTTCCAAAACGGAGGCTTTTTGGATGTCCTAAAGTGTTTGCCATTTCACTTGGACCTTTGGAATATTTTGTCTTAAACAACTTGAACGATTTTATTGTTTTTGTTGTTTAATGCCTTTTCGAGTTTTCATTTGTCTAACGATTATGAAAAGTTTTGTATATTAAATTCAACTTAATTAATAACCCCCAAACATTAAAACGCCCTATAAACTTACAAGGAGAGGTTGCGAGGTGTCCGACCTAAGGACGGGCGATATCTTGGCCAGATCAAAAAACGGGTAAAAACGGCTCAAAATCCTTGCTAGAAAGGGCACATTCTCTATCGAATGAGCCCGGTCTTGACCGTTTTTAGGTCAGACACTTCGCAACCTCTCCGTGTTAGCAATTAATAATATTTTTTTTTTAAATTAAAGTCCATATACTCCATTTCATGGAAAAACAACAGATGGGGCAGGAGAGATTTTGCTTCAATCTTTGGCTAATGCGGGGATATTGCTTGTAGTTATTATTGTTATGACTGTAATTTTGATTGTGTTATATAAATCTAAATGTTATAAGGTTATTTTTTTAAATTTTTTTAGAAAATTAATTTCCTTTTTAGATTATTCATGCTTGGCTAATGTTAAGTTCCTTGATGTTACTCTCCATGTTTACGTTGTCTTTTATTGAGTAATTATTTTTTTTTTAAATTTTTAGTTTAAAAAATCCTTTTTCCAAGCCCAGAATTATTTTCTTTATTAAAAGGGGTGGGAAAATAAAAAATTTAAAACGTCATTCTTTGATAATATTCCCAGATTTTTATTCAAATTTTTATTTTTTTTCAAATTTTTAATTTTTTTCAAATTTTTCAGAGAATTATTTCGCAACTACAACATTCCAATTGATTATATTACTCTTGGAATATTTCTTTGGAACTGTATGAATTTTATTTTTTATTTTAGACTTATCTCATTTTTGGATGTCCCCTTGGGTCAGAAAAATCTGTACCAGACTTGGTAATGGACATGAATTTTAATATCCGTATCCGGATAATTACGGCGGATACAGACTGATATCCGCAGGCATTTCTAACGTATCCATATCCATTACCAAGTCTGTCTGTACTCTATTTTTGTGAATCACTTACGAGGCTCTCCTACTAATTTTCATTTTGGAATATTTAAAAATGGGGTTTGACTGTCTAATAAAATTTAATAAAAAGGGTGTGTTCTTGGCATGATTTGTATTCATTGGCAAGGACCTTTACTTCTCCAACAGGTTTTTTTAGAACGATTTATTTTGAATATTTTTTTATTTTTTTAAAGTTTTATTTGGTTTCTGTGTCTGCATTAATGGCTTTAATGTTTATTAAACATTTACCGGAATGGTCTGTTTGGTCAATTTTGGCTGTGCTTTCAATTTGGGATTTGGTTGCTGTTTTGTGTCCAAAAGGGCCTTTGAGAATTTTGGTGGAAACTGCGCAGAAGAGAGATGAACCTATTTTCCCTGCTTTAATATATTCTTGTAAATTATTTTTAATATCTGTTTGTGACGGTAAACGGGAATAATTTTTTAAGAAATTTCCAGGGAAGCCCCGCTCTTCTAAAATAAGCTGGACAAAATAATCCAGAAAACAAATAATAGTTTTAGAACCTTTTTTGCGTCTTAACGTTTCTAATAATTTTTCAATTTTCCCTCTCGGCACGCGGACATACCGGGCTATTTCATTGTACGAACAGTTTCCTACTGAGAGATAGAGTTTTTGTTTTAGAACAAACGTAAACACGCAAAAAATTATTTTTGTCACCCCAATGCCCGATATGTCCGCACACCTTCCTCATTAAAAATTAAATTTTTCTAGCTGGT